GCCTTTCGTGCTTTCAGCGAATTATACGCACGATAAAATGTAGGCGTGGCGGGCGTGAAACATAATTTCATTTGGATCTACAACAACGTAAAAGGGTCATTAAAAAACTGCCTGCGTACGTCTCTAACCAGAGTTCTAAGCTTTCGAATGACTAAAACCACTCTCACGGAATTTCTCGTACAGCAAATGGGATCGAACATTTATTTCTCACCGTCTGACGGAAATGAGCCCGCAACCGATTTGTAATGTCAAAGTTAAAGGAATGTTGATTCATAACTTCTAATTTCAACGTGCTCATACATCTTATTTATTTGCACTGTACTCTTTCTGCCCTTTCCTAATCCTTGGGATCTAATTGTAGATCGGAGACCCTATATAATTTATGGAAGTATTTTCTAGAAATTTGCTATCCTACTCAAATGAATCCAGCCGTTTGCATCCGTTTGAGTACCCTGTCAAACAACTCTCTCAACAACTAGGAGAAGATAATATGAATAATGTCGACTATTTTATCAAAGTTAGTTCTAAGATGGAAATGAGTCATTTGATTTGTGAAGAGAACCCTACTCATATCACTCAATGACTTCTGACATAGATCATTTATTCCACATAAAAATATGGCTTCTCCCAGATACTGTGTCAATAATATAATAGACTTTAGTTCAAGTACATTGCTTGCCTGGCTTTTGAATTTCCAGTAATCAACACCATGTTGACTTTTTTAGGTGGACCTCAACAGCTTTCCTACTGATTTCGAGATCCAGCGACTTGGCGCCGCTGAAAGTGATATATGAACAGTGTATAAGATTTGTGATACATCTCAAAATATAGAACTATTTACCACAGCGTCCCAAAGGAATATACATTAGGTGCCATGACTAAGCATGGTGTCGGTGCACTCGCAATCTTCTTGATAACTTGGTAGACCGGTGGGCTGCCGAAATTCTCTGCAGTTCACCCATCATGGATCTTCAAACGGACGGTTGAGAAATCAGCAGTTTGACTTTTTATAAACATCGGCATAATTATTTGATATATGAAAATCGAGGAAAGTAATCTTGATTGGCTGACGCGAAGCTGTTAAAGTAGTCGTAGTAATTCGGATAACGTTTCGACGACCCCCTTCTTTAGAGACTGGGCGTATGTAGTATATGCTGCCTAGGTCATTTTAAAAGATCAAACGAAGAAAGGGCTCGAGGTCGCGTGTGATGGTTGCGCATTGGTCCATCCGATTCATTTCGGGGTTTATGGCGTTTATCCAAAATGCCCCAAGAGTTTTGCGCTTGGATGTTTTTGATGACTGCGCTAGGATCGTGACAGTCACATTTGTTGTGTTTATGTGCCCTATGTGAAAATAAAGGTCTGGTTTATTTATTTTAGATTTCCTATCTAGATGTTCTTTTATGCGGATGAAAAAGTGGTCTATCTGTTTCGCCTATATATTCTTCCCCGCATGTCTTACATGTTGCCAAATAAATTGTGCCCGATCTTATACAATCGCCGTCCTTTCTATTATGGCAGATTGTACAGTTTTTGGTGCTGCACGAATGCTTGATACCCAAGTCAATCTCCACTTTTGTTTATCTCCGCGAAATTAGCCTCGCATCTCTTAGGTTCTCTACTGCAGATTTGCTTTCTACACCTATCAAGGATGTCTTTGGCATTAGGAGCAAAAGTGTCTTCTTCTCATAAGAGGTCAAAGTACTCGTTAAATAATTTCACCAGCTTCCTTGCAATTTTGCGTGCAGTGTGTCCAATGTTTTTAAGCACTTTACAGGACTACTTGCTTTTAACAATGAAAGCTTCTTGGGTTGATTATACGACTTTATACTATTCATTGAACAAGACATCTCTTACTCTTAACCTCTAAGGACCGACGTGTACCAGCTGAGAAACATGTTTGTTTGAGGGCCTTCTTCGTAGGAGAAAACTCCTCTGTTAAATACTTGGTAGTTATTCGATAGCTCAAATCTCTGCGATTTCAGCAATATATGTTGCTTACTTAAAAAACTTCTTCATTTCGCTGTAGCAGCGAAAATAAAATTGTGTTCACAATCAGTACGTTTTGATAAGGATGTTACATGTTTTGAGATGTTTGGTCTGGTGGTATAAGACGTCTGTTTCGTCCTATTGGGGACTCATCAGTGCCACCTTCCTTCGGTCCAGCCCATCCCCGAGGTTGCAAAATCCTTTATGAAGAAATCAATGACGAGTAAAAAAAAATCAAACTAAGTAAGATAGTGTAGTTACCTGACATTGTGGTTGCCGGCAGTCGAGACGTTGTGATAGTGAATCATAGCTCTTCTATGGACCGCTTTTTTTATAGCCCACTGAAAATGATAGGATGTGATAAGGATATAACATGTTCTAAGATGTTTGGTCTAGTGGTATAAGGCGCCTGTTTCGCCGTATTGGGGCCCTGGGGCTCATAGCCATCACCCTCCCTCGGTTCAGCCGACCCCTGAGGTTAAATAATCCTCTATAACGGAATAGACGCTGAGTAAAAAAGTTCATTCTAGTAAGATGGTGTAGTTACCTAACATTACGGCGACCGGAAGTCGAGCACGTAGCTGTTATAATGATTCATACCTCTCCTACTGACCGCTTTTTTTTTTAGAGACTCAGATCATAATCACTTGGAGCGGGTCTATAAAGAAAGCGGTCAGTATGCTTTATTTGCTCTGCTGGGGCTTCTGTAAAGCTCTTCACTAAACTCGTACTAGTTCTTCTATAATCCAGATCTCTGGAATTTTTAATTCTGTAATTGGTTTTTTTGAAAGTTCATCATGGAACGTTGTAAGACCGAGAAGAAGATTACGTTTTACCCTCAAAGTCTTTACTGTAGAGAAGAGCTATATATGCACGAAAAACACATGACCATGTAAAGATCACGCCGTATGGAGAGTTTTTCAAAACCCAATGTTTTACTTTCAAAATGGAAGGAAAGCCTAGTCGAATAGCGAAAATTACACGCTTATTGCGAATTGCGTTGTGCGATCGATCAACTGTCGTCCCTAGAGGGTCAAAATGATTGCGGTTTTGCACATCACTCCACATCAGTGGGTATACTTGAAAGTTCATTACCATGACTAGAAGCTATTAAACGGATAGAATTTCATTTGATTATCAATACGCAGTATCTGGCGGCGTGACTGGGTTCAATGGTGATACCGATCGGCCGACAGAAGATGCGTTGTAGCGTAGTAAGAGCGGTGCGCAAAATGGGGGCGTCAGCAGTGCAACGGGTTAGAGCACGCGCTCCGAATAGAGTGAGATGTGGTTTCAAGTCCCGACTGACGCAGAAGTTTTGCCACATCGCGGCATACTTGAAAAGGTCATTACCACGGCTAGAAGCGGTGAAACCAAAAAAATTTTGTTTGGTTAAAAACGATTGTTTTTTGATGGGCCCCACTCCAAGCTGGCCGATAACACGTTCGTGCCTGCTAAAACTTTCCATCCCTTTGGTGCAGTATGGCCCTAGGCAGGTCTAGGGAACACATTGAAACCCTTACACTGGAGCCTTAGTAGTCGCTCGAATCATTCAGCGTTCAACTGGACTTCATACACTTAGTCTTAATTCTTAACTCTTACTTACTGCTAACTTACATACTTAACTCTAAGTGTGGGGACTGGAGCCCCAAACAGAATCGGCAAAAAAAAAAACAAGAAAGGGTAAACTGCCCGACTGACGAGACTGCACGGTCGCAACATGCGTATCGGGTTCTATAAGTCAGCTCATTTTACAACATAGCATGCGTGGCTCAAAAATGATTATATGGCATATATTCGGAATTTTCATCGCCTTCAGAAGTCCGTAGGCTTGGACGACTGAAAAAGGATCTCTGCTGCCGTATGCAAAATTCATTACATCCGACTGAATCTGATTTTCAGTCAATAAACATTACATTGAGCCGAAATACACCTGCTTATGGAATAGAGGTATGAAATCGTTATTTATTTTCTGAGAAAGGTAACACTATCTTATCATTTCGGTTTCTAATATCATATATATATATATATAATTATATATATACATGCATGTGTGTATGTACATGTATATACACGAATATATGCGTATATACGTACATATCTCAAAAAGCGGGGATAGCCGAGCGGATAAAAATATTGCAGCAGAAAAGATCGACCTTATATGATGCCCTAGTTTAATCCTCTCCCAGCACACTCTCGCAATCAATCACTGAATGGCATAATAACACCTTAGCTTGTCTACTTCGGTACTGCACGAAGAATCGTTTTCAACCAGCATTTTGCAACATTCATAGACAGGACGAAATTTTCAAGCTGAAGCAACACGTGGAAATGTTCGACGACCTTTGCGGAGGAGGACTACGGGGAAATAAATCTAATGAAAGAGGTGCTGGGATTGCGAGAGAGGAAGATGACGAGTTGTGTAAATAATTATAAAATAACATTATATCTAAATCTCTTGCTTATATCAATACCTCATAGTAGCAATTCTACTAATGCCTTACTTTGATGAAACGAGATGACGAGAAATTGGAGCGTGGAATGCCAAGGACTGCATCCTTTGTTAACTCAATCTGCAACATAGGCTTTTTTTCTTTTCTCAAAATGTTATCAAAAAAGTCATTTGCATTTTATGATTTGAAAAACTAATTTAGTGTAAACAAATGTAGATGAATATACGTAGAAAATTGATATTACGAATATATTCTCACCCCTTTTTCATTTGACGTGGATTGCTTTCGAGAACGGGAAGAAGCACAACGAAGGCAGATACTACAGGGAAAACGAAGTGCTGAAGCAAGATGCATGTAAAAATAGTTGATATTGTGTTTAGTTTTCAGTTTTCTGCACATCACCCCTCGTTGCTGGATACTCTACCAACCCATTGAATTAATCACGAAAAAAATAGACAAAAAAACGAAATACATCAGAAATGATTTCATTTGACCCCCACTTGCGGCGTTTTGATATTACAGTGTACCAATTGATGTAGAGTACTGTGCAAGAACGTTTGCGTCAGCCGGGAATCGAACCCAGATCTCATTCTTTCTGGGAGCGAATGCTATCCGTTGCGCCCACAGGCGCTGCCTTTTGCACAGCACTCTACACTACTGAGTATACTGCAACATCATAACACCGCAAGTGGCGGTCAAATAAAATCATTTGTTATTGATTATTGATGCCCAGTCTCTGTCAACAAAAAATTGGGTTCAATGTCATTGACGACTACCCCGCCAGACCATAGACGGTTGGCTGTTGACTGATAAACGCATTGTAGCGTAGAAGGTGTGCTGTGCAAAAACGAGCGCCGGTGGTTGCAGCGGTTAGCATGCGCTCCCCGGAAGGAGTAGATCTGGGTTCGAACCCCTTCTGGACGTCGACGTTTTGCACAGCACTCCACACTATTGGATACATTGTTGCATCGAAATACTTTAATTGAATGAATGCAATGTGGTCAATGGAGGTGGTGTAGCACACTGGTTAGTGGACACAACTCATCAGAAGCAAGACCTTGGTTCTACCCCTTACTAACACGTTTTTGCGGACCATAAAGAAAACAGCTCGAAAGCCTGAGCTCGGCTACCTCCAATACTGAAAGGAAATTCTTCCTGACCAGCTTTCTACGACATTCATAAGGGCGATGAAATCATCAATCGGCAGTGGAAAAAAACAGTTGTGAACGATCGAAGATCTTTGTAGAGGATGAATACGAGAAAAAGAAACGAATGCAAGAAATCTGAGATTCTCACATCAAGCTTTGATGACAGGGCGGTAGAGAAAAAACACATTTGTTACTACTGAAGGAAGTTCTGATTGAAAAAACACTACAAGTTTTTCAACAATTACACACGTGGGGCTCGAACTCATGACCATCATTTTTGTGAGACTGGCGCACTACGGACTTGGCATTAGAAGCGCAAAAGGTAGTGCCAATAATTTCTACTTGGTGACACTTGGTAATTATTTCATAGCTCAAATTTCTGCGATTCTGAGCAATATAATTGCTTTTTGAAGCGCAGTTTATCTTTGCTTGTAGCAGCTGCGATACGCTTTGATAAGGTAAAACCTGTTTTGAGATGCTTGGTCTAGTGCTATAAAGCGTCTGTTTCGTCCTATTGGGGCTCATCGGTGCCACTTTCCCTCGGCTCAGCCGATCCCCTGAAGTCAAATAATCCTCTACAAAAGATTCGGCGCCCAGTAAAAAAAATCACCCTAAGTGAGGTGGTGTACTTACGTGACATTGTGTGGCCGGAATTCGAGCACGTAGCTGTGATAATGAATCACACCTCTTCTATCGACCGCTTTTTTATAGGCCCCTGAAAGTGCTATAATGTGATATGGATATAACATTTGGTTGCTTGGTCTAGTGGTACTAGGCGCCTGTTTGGTCCTGTTGGGACTCATTAGTAAAACCCTCTCTTGGTTCAGCCGATACACTTAGGTTAAATAATCCTCTATAAATAAATCGACGCCGAGTAAAAAAAAATCACCCCGAGTGAGATGATGTAGTTACCTGACATTGTGTGGCCGGAATTCGAGCACGTAGCTGGTATAATGAATCATATCTTTTCTATCAACCGCTTTTTTATAGGCCCGCTGAAAATGACATAATCTGATAATGATATAACATGTTTTGAGATGTTTGGTCTCGTGATACTAGACGCCTGTTTCGTCCTATTGGGTTTCATCAATACTCTATAAAGGAATCGACGCCGAGTAAAAAAAATCACTCTAAGTGAGATGGTGTAGTTACCTGACATTGTGTGGCCGGAATTCGAGCACGTAGCTGTGATAGTGAGTCCCAGCTTTTTTATCGACCGCTTTTTTATAGGCCCGCTGAAAATGACATAATCTGATATGGATATAACATGTTTTAATATGTTGGTCTAGTGCTAGAGGCGCCTGTTTCGTCCTGTTGGGGCTCATTACTATCACCCTCCCTTGGTTCAGCCGATCCTCTGAAGTTAAATAATCCTCTATAAAGGAATCGACATTGAGTTCAAAAAATCATCTTAAGTGAGATGGTTGTAGTTACCTAACATTGTGGCGACCGGAAGTCGAGCACGTGACTGAATTTTACCTCTTCTATTGACCGCTTTTTTTATAGACTCAGATTATATCATTTGGAGCGGATCTCGGGAGAAAGCGATCAATATGCTTTACTTGCTTGGCTGGGGTTTGTGTAAGGCTCTTCGCTAAACTCTTACTAGTCCTTCGATATCCCAGATCTGGGAAATTTCGATTCTGCAATTGGTTTTTGAAAAGTTTATCATATAACGTTGTAAGACCGAGAAGAAGATTACGTTTCACCCTTAAAGTCTCTAGTGTACAGAAAAGCTATATATGCATAAAAAACACATGACCATGCAACGGGTTAGAGCACGCGCTCCGTATAGAGTGAGATGTGGTTTCAAGTCCCTCCTGACGCAGAAGTTTTGCCACATTAGTTGTATATCTGAAAGCTCATTACCACCGCTAGAGGCGGTGGAACAAAAAGAATTTCGTATGGTTAAAACGACTGCTTTTTGATAAGCTCCTCTCCAAGCGGGTACGATAACACGTTTCGTGCCTGCTAAAACTTCCTATCTCTTTGGTGCGGTATGACCCTAGTCGTGTCTAGGAACATATTAGACCTTGAATCTTAATAATCGCTGTCATTCAGCGTTCAACTGTACTTCATACATTGGTGTTGATTTTTAACTCTTACTCACTGCTTACTTACATGCTAACTCTTAGTGTGGGGACTGGAGCACCCACACGTGATTGGCAAAAAACGAGAAAGGGTAACTGCGCGACTGACGAGACTGCAACGTCGAAACACATGTATCGGGTTCTATAAATCAGCTCATTTAACGGACACGTAACATGCGTGGCTAAGAAATGATTATTTGACATATAATAGGGAAATTTCATCGCCTTCAAAAATCCGGAGCTTGGACAACTGAAAAAGGAGCTCTGTTGCTGTATGCAAAATTCGTTGCACCAAATTGAATTTAATTCCAGTCAATAAACATTATTTTGAGCCGAAATACATTTGTTAATGGAAGACAGGTACCAAATCGTTATTATTTTCTGAAAAAGGTAACACTATCTTATCATTTGAGTTTGTAAGATTTATTCTCTAAAGAATAACATTCTCAAAATATCCAATAGTGATGATAAGGGGTTTCCAATGTTGCTCGAGTAATTTAAAGCGTATTCTCTTCTTTAGGAAAAGCAATGACACCGAGGCATCAAACATGTTCCAAACACGACGCGTCGCCAAGTATTTCATTCTTTTTACATGGATAATACACAAAAAAAGATTGCTTATGGAGCCTTTGCATGGTTGAAATTTCTTCTTAACTAATTTCTTAAATGTCATTGGATATGCTTTGGATAGCGTGCCATTGTTGCATCGTCATACTTATTCGAGACGGCAGGAAATGCTGTGGGCTGGTCTGGATTTGTGTACTCACTAGTTAGCCACTCTGGCCGGCCTACTCTTCCCACCCACCCGAGCAACGTCAATACTTGCCTGATTAACTACTGATTGCTATTACAACTATGTTTTCAAAACCATATGCCTCTAAAATCTCAAGATTTCCGTCATTGCTAGTATGACAGGGCCTTTAAAGTTTTTTCGGCTCATTTCATGCCCATAAATGTTTACGAGACATCTATCACTGAATTAATATTTCTTCCAGAATAGTATATGCTCTCAATGCTTTTTTTCTCCAGAGAAAAAATTCTGTACGATCATGCTGAATATTGCGTCTCAGTGATTTTTTCGAAAAAGCCTGATTAATCATTGATTGCTACTACAACTATGCCGTTGATAGATAATGGTTCTTGCAAATTGTGCCTCTGCTTTAACCACCCTCTTAGTGATATACTCCATATTCTGTTGTTAATAGTCAAGTTGGTGAACGAGCTTAGGATTTTCAAGGGGCAGATTCGATTTTCACCCTAACTTCAAAATACAAATGTGAATCATTGTAACAAATTCCTTACTTACTTTCCACTTTCTGCTGGAACATTAGTACTCAGATACATACTAAGATTATGGAGCACGAACAAGCCCCATTTATTGTTACGGAATAAAGGATAAAGGGTACTGCTCCTCTGCATTAATCCATCTCTGAGAATTGTTTTATGCACTTCTGTGTCATTAAGCATCGTTTGAGGTGACATAATTCATATCTGGCCTTTACATTTTCACCAATCTATCAAGTTAGTGCTGCTGTCCTTCCAAACAAGTTTGGCACTGAATCGCAGACCGCGAAGGGGACGAAAGGCTTAATGAGCCTTGAACGTAGCTGGAAAATATAAAGTTCAAATAGTCGAGTTTTTGTTAGCTTCTCATGTACATTTTCGATCTTCTGCGGGAAGAACAAGTGCTTGTTTATAGGATACTTCTCGGCATGACTTCACACATGTCGCTGATTGCCAGTCGAGCGTCCGAAGGAATGTAATTTGAACTGAATGAAACATAGTAAGCAATAATGCAGGACGAAGATGATCTGTCAAAATGCATGGTCACTCTTACTGAGCCGCATGTTTGGTAAGAAAGAAGATTTATTAGCTAATTACTGGCAAAATATCGTGTTTATTTGCGATTTTACTTGTAAATCAGCAAAATTTCATTGCTTACTAGTGTGTAATTATGTAGTTCAGGGTTTTACATATACTTGAAATCGTTTTGGCTGTGCTTGCCCTTATCGCCAACTGTATTATGACAGTGGTCACTCATAACGCTATTCCAGTACCTAATTCACAACGGCGAACGCTGGTGAGAACTATGTAGATTACTTTTGTTTAGTTATTTATAATTCGTCGCAAAGGCTCTTATAGTAGAACCGCAATGACTTATTGTTGTATTTTGAGTGTTATAATAACTCTCAGTTTTTGGCTACTTAAATCTCACTATTGACAAGCGCAGCGAGATAAATTCCAATTTAGACGTCGATTTCCTTCAACTTCGTGCTGCTAGCTGGTTATCAACTTGCCAGAAATTTATTTCTCGGAGTGTCGATGTACAAACCATGCATCACTGTGGTATTTCCTTATTCTTATTCATTCTGAATCTGTATAATTACGCGTTT